AGGGGATTTAAAGGATTTTTTTAAAGGGGTTTTAAGGAGATTTTTAAGGGGTTTTTAAGGGGGTTTAAGGATTTCTTTAAATAGGGGGTAAGGAGGTTTAAGGGGTTTTTTAAAGAGGTTTTAAGGGGATTTTTAAAAGAGGTTTTAAGGGGGGTTAGGGGGTTGTAAGGGGGTTTAAGGGATTTTAAGGATTTGGTTTTAAGGGTGGGTTTAAGGAGGTTTAAGGGGTTTTCTTAAGGGGTTTTAAAGTTTTTTTAAAAGATGTTTTAAAGGGTCTTTAAGTGAGGTTTTAAGGGATATTAAGGGTGTTTTTTAAAGGGATTTTAAGGGGATTTGGGGGTTTTAAGGGTGTTTTAGGGGGGCTAAGGAGGTTTAAAGTTGTTTTCTTTTAAGAGGTTTTTAAGAGATTTTAAGGGAGGTTTTAAGAGGTTTTTTAAAGGGATTTTAAGGGGGTTTAGAGGGTTTTAAGAGGGGTTTTAAGGGTGTATTAAGGGGACTAAGGAGGTTTAAATTGTTTTTAAAGGGGTCTTAAAAGAGTTTTTAAGGGAGGTTTTAAGGTGGTTTTTTTTAAAGGAACCTAAGGGGTTTTTTAAGACGTTTTAAAGGGTTTTTAAGGGTGGTTCAGGGGAGGGATTATGGGGTCTTTAAGGGATTTTAAGGGGTCACACCCAGCCCGAGGAGCCCCTTTCCCACCCAGGCCCCCTTTTCCCCGCCAAACCCAGGAGGAATTTGGCCATTTCATAGCCCCAAAGCCGCAGCGGCAGCGGGGCCGCCTGCGCGGTGCCAGCAAATAACCGGGTGGAAGAAAGCCGGAAAAAGGTGGGTTTTTTGCTCAAAACCATAAAAAAAGGAGGGGTGGTTTAGGGGAAAACAACATCTTGCTGCCAAAGCTGCCATTTGGGTGGTTTTCACCCAATTTTGGGATGTTCGGGGCTGTGGATGCCCCATGCATGTCACGAGTTAGCGGGGCCGCCTGCGCGGTGCCAGCAAATAACCGGGTGGAAGAAAGCCGGAAAAAGGTGGGTTTTTTGCTCAAAACCATAAAAAAAGGAGGGGTGGTTTAGGGGAAAACAACATCTTGCTGCCAAAGCTGCCATTTGGGTGGTTTTCACCCAATTTTGGGATGTTCGGGGCTGTGGATGCCCCATGCATGTCACGAGTTTGCCAGGCTCAGCCCCGGCACCACCCTCAGTCCTGGCTCAAAGTCCAGCAGCACCCAGGGAGGGGGGGGCACCGGATTTGGGCGCACGGCAGCACCCAGCGGCACCTTATCTCTGTTTGCATATGGCGGGACCGCATGAGGGCAATGGGGAAACTGAGGCACGGGCCATGCGGGGCATTTGGTGTGCCCCCCAACCACTGCTCCCTCTCCGGTGCCTGGCTCGATTTTGGTGAAACTCCTGTCCTGATCCCCAGAGGAGCAGGTGTGGGTGATGGACAGGTTGGAGGTGTCACCCATGGGTGCTGTGGGTGCTATGGGCCCCGTGCCCCACTGAGCATCATCCCCAAGGGGTGTGGGTACTGCGGTCCCAACTGAGCACCCTCCACAGGTGCTGTGGTCCCATCACCCCACTGAGAATCTCCATGGGTGATCTCGGTGCTGTGGTCCCAGCTAAGCACCCTCCATGGGTGCTGTGGACCCCCTCCCCATGGTCCCATCACCCCACCAAGAGCCCTCCATGGGTGATCTGGGTGCTGTGGTCCTCGTGCCCCAAAAGCACCCTCTGTGGGTGCTGTGGACCCACTCCTCATGGTTCCCTCAACCCCACTGAGCACCCTCCGTGGGTGATCTGGGTGCTGTGGTCTCAAATGAGCACCCTCCATGGGTGTTGTAGTCCCACCACTCTACGAGCACCCTCATCTCATTTAGCACCTTCTATGGGTGCTAGGGACCCTCTCCTCATGGTTGTCTTATCCCACTGAGCACCCCCCATGGGTATTATGTGTGCTATGTGTGCTGTGGTCCCAACTGAGCACCCTCTATGGGTGCTGTCGACCCCCTCCTCGTGGTTCCCTCACCCCATTGAGCACCCTCCATGGGTGCCGTGGACCCATCACCCTACGAGCACCCTCCCGCTATGAGCACCCTCCATGGAGCGCCCAGGTGCTGCTCCCAGCAGCCTTCCCCCACCCCAGCACCTCTCCCAGCACCTGCCCCACTTTTGGGGTGTCTCCCTGGCGCTGACCCCGCTTCACCTCTCCTCTGGCTGGGCCCGGGCATGCCTGGCTCACCCAACCTGTTAATTACCCCTGCCGGCTTAATTACGTCTTCGTTAGCCCCTGCCTCACCCTCTAAAAAAAACACTGCGCCCCAATCTGGGGGGGCACTGAAGAGCTGGGGTGACCCCCCAGGATTTTAGGGTCACAAACCACTCGCCACCCTTATTAATTGCGATAATTGAGGCTAATTAGGTGTTGATAATTACAGAGCGGATCCATGGTAGGAGGGACACAGAGACTGGGGCACCTCGGTGCATGTCAGGCACAGTTATGGGGTGGATTTGGGGGTTTTGAGCATTTTTAATTGAATGCATGACTGGGCTCTGCCAGAGAACAGCCCTCCCAGCCTGGGGGGGACACCTCCACCACTCTGGGGGGGGTCAGGACCCTCCCTCTTTCCATTGATATCTGGGGAGGGGGTCCCCAAAAGCCATCACTTGGGGTCGGCGAGCTCCTCGATGGCTTTCCGCAGCTGCAAAGGGACAGAGGAGATGGGTTGGGGTCCTGTCCCTGCCCCATCATCCCCTTGTCACCCTCCTTGTCCCCGCCTCACCTCGGCCCGGCTGACAGCTCCCACCAGCTCCCCGACACGGGTGACAAAGATGCGCTGTAGCTTCAGCAGCTCGAAGAGGTGATGGACCTAGGGAAGGTGACAATGGGGACTCATGGGAACAAAGCCACCCCTCACCATGACACAGAATTGGGGGGATTGGTGGCTCCCAGCCCCATCAGGATGTGTGTCCCCCCACCCCAAACCTGGTGCAGGGAGGTCCACGGTGAAAGCTGGAGCATGATGGGCTCAATGGCACAGTTGTCCCCAAGTGTCCCCGCAGCAGCCAGCTTGGGGATGGTGATGGGTTAATTTTTGGGTGGAAAACCAGCTTTTTTGGGTGCGGCGGGGTGCTCACCTCCCCCCTCTCCATTTACCTTCTCCTCTGGGGGTGCCTGGGGGTGCTTGTGGCTCTGGAGAAAGGCAACCAGCTGGGCTCTGCTGACGGTGCCCACCAGCGTGGGGGACCCTGAGGGACAGGGACAATCTGGTGACATCTCCCCTGGTCATGGTGACTGCCCCCCTGCACCCCACATCCCACCTGCGCTCTCCACCACGGGGTATTCGGTGTCATTGGAGGTGTCCAAGGCCACCAGCACCTCCTCAAAGCCACCATCCTTGGTCAAGGCCACCACCCTGTGCTCCATGAACTCCTCCACCACCACTCGGTAGGAGCTGGTGAGTCACAAAACCCCCAGATTTTCATCATTTCGCAGCAAAACACCCCAAAATTTGGTGGTTTTTTTTGGGGGGGAGGGAGGAGGGCCTTACGCCATGTGGCGGCTGCGGATGCGGGGGAGGTAGGGCAGCTTCTTGACGATGATGGTGCCATCGTAGAAGGAAGGTTGGTGCTTTTGGGTGATGGCATTGGCCACCAGCACGGCCAGGACCACGGGGAGGAGGTGGCCCAGGTGGCCGGTGGCCTCGCACACCAGTAACGCCGTGGAGACAGAGTAGGTCACCGAGCCCGAAAAAGCGGCTGCACCTGTGGGGGAGGGGATCAGTGGATGGGTGGGGAGTGCCCCCCACCCATGGGTGTCCCCCCCACCAAAACTCACCAGCCAGAGCGTAGCCGCCAGGGGTGATGGGGCGCAGGGTCCCCTCTGGATAGAGCCCACGGGGGAAGAGCAGGGCCACCACCTCCCCCACCAAGCGCCCGATGGCAGCTCCTAAAATGATGTGGGGGAAGGTGGGGAGACCCCAGCAGTGCTCTCCCAAAAAAATGGTGCAGCTGGAGGTGATCACCCTCCTGCAGCACCCCTGGGCTGGATATGACCCCTGTACGCCCCCAAAACTGGATGCAACCCCTCAGACTGGATACAAACCCCGTACCCCTCTCTCCAGAGCTGGATGTCCCCTCTGTAACCACCCCCAAACTGGATGTACC